TCTCTTGTGTCTTGGAAAGATTACACAAGAATACGCAGCAAATAATGTTACAGATCACTTTTTTTAAACTTGAAGCAGATGAGTTTTGTTCAGATTTGTTACTTACAGATCTGAATATCACTGCTCAAAGTTTTTCTCTTTCAATGTCGGATACCTAGACAAATATAGTTCTCAGTTTTAGGTTAATTGATTTTGAGGAGGAAATTGCGTTATTCTGTTATAAGCCTTTAAAAGTAATGTGCCATAGTTCATTTTATCTGGCCTTTATTTCAAGTTATCCACTCTCGCTCTCTCGCTCTCTCATTTTCATTTTCATTTTCACCCCTCGTCTCTTTCCTTCCTTTACAGCCTCATGGGCTTTATAGTGGCTGCTTCTCTTCCATCTGTTTCCCAATCAATTTGGCCTCATTTCCTTCCAATTGGTCCACCTCCATGGGCTAAGGCTCATTTAAGGAAGCATTGCATGTTGAGATCAGCTGTAGTTATGGTGATCAGCCCGTGAACCGCTTGGGCGTCACAGAGGCATGCCTGGAGTTTGGCTATTCATTTGAAGTTTTGTATATAGCCCTTTAGAAGACCACTGGGGGAGGAGGTGTGCTTGTGTGTGTGTGGAAACGGCAGTGTTTTAGCAGATGGCTCACAAATTTACTAATTTTAACAATGTGAAAGTTTAATGAAGAAAACATTGTGCCTGTGGCCATGTTGCTCTCAAAGTGTCTGTGGTTTATTGATGTATGAAACCATTTTATGTTTGTGTGATGCACAAATACACAATTGGTTCGATATGCAAGCTGAAAGGCATGTACAGACAACTGACTGTAATCTGCATACAGTGTCGGTTCATTTTAATTACAGAATCGCGTGTAAGTGTTTGCAAAAAACAAACCATCCTCCCAGTACAGCAAACATGACTCTTCATTACTTTATTGCCACTCACTTAAGCACCGTGTAATCTGTTACGATCATCATGCATTTGTTTAGGACTGGCACCAACATGTTGCCATAAACAGCAATGCCTCACCCGTAGTTTTTATTATCACCCATATTTCTCTTTCTCTTGAGCTTTTGTTTTTAATCGAGCCCAGGCCTTGAATTCATGTGGTTCTTAACAAGACATAGAAAAAAATGAAAACTGAAATGTTGCCAGAAAGATATATTTTTCTTTTCTCTCATTAATTTGAAGGCAAGCACTGGCACACAGGGTGGTGACTGAGTATTGATCAAGAGAAAGCAGAGCTGTCCTGCTAGTTTACACCTATTAATATCGTATTTTACATGAACTGGAAAAGACACAGATGAAAGATATGTGGGCTTTTGGCAGTCCACGTAGTCCAGTTAAGGTCTTATCTGGGTTAAGCTGTTTCAGGCCTCTTTGATATCCTGCAATTGAGTTTCCCAACTGACATGCATAAACCAATTAACCGAATATCCTGGTCCACCTTTGTGTCTGGAAGGTCATTCAGCGAAATAATTCTCCACTGAGCAGTAGGTGTGACTACAATGAGCTTTCTCTGCTTGACAGTAGTTTGTAGATGCACGTTTTTTTTTACCCCAGTACATAATTACATATTTAAATGCAAATATTAGAAATGTGCACCAAAGAAGTCTTTATTTTAGTCCTGTATCTTTGTAGATGTAGTATATCACGACATCTAAACTAAACATTGAAGCCCTTCTTTCTTTAAATGCATGTATATGAGAAAACAGCTTTCTTTATTGCTATCCAAAAAAATCTTAAGGTGGTTTTAATCACACTATATCCACACACTGCAGAGCCGTGGTGTCTGCCTGCTGCACATGAAGTAGCCGGTCTTATCAGTGGGAGCAGATGGAGAGCGTCCAAGTGAGAGGCTCAGTCTGGCTCCATGTATGTCATAAGTAAGAGGATGACCTTGGCTGAATCTCAACTGCAGTTCAACCATAAGAAACACACTTTCTGTCCTTTTCTGTCTGTCTTTCTCTGTGTCTCTGTTCGTCCACCCCCCCC